AACAGACATTATAATTTGATTATATGATATGTTTGATTCATAATAAATTATTAATATAATTATATATAATTTAAATATAAAAAATTAAGATTCCTTTTAGTCCCATGGTTTTAATCATGAACTACTTAAGTCCTTATGATTTAATCGTATCTAAAATAACTCATATATTTTAAAAAAATATAAAATATAAACCTCTCGTGTAAAGTTTTAGTTAACATAAAATTTAAATTAATAAACATTAGAGTCTGCTTATATGACATATTGATTATATGACAAACATAATATATAAAAAATCTAATTATTAACAAAATAATTAGATTTTGATATACTGACATATAATTTAAATTTAAAAAAATAAGATCATCATCAATAGCGAGACGAGACATCGTAGTGAAAGTGACAACTAGTAGTAGCACTGAGTCGCTATTGCTTAGCAGAGCATTGTACGCACGTAGTCTCTTCCACATTGATGACGAGCTTAAGAGTTGCTGGTTCTACCTCAAGTGGATGTGCATCGATCAGTTCAACGCTAGGCACATAGTGATCTCTTGGTTCATCTTTTTTCCTTTTGAGTATCTTCATCCCTACCGCCTTCTACTTCATCCTCTCTTGCACCCTCACTCGTCGTGTTTATGACATAGTGGTCTAGCTCTCCCTTATCTCCGCCTCTAGCCTCTCCACCTTCATCCGTCACTACGACCTTCGTCGCTTTCTCTTCTTTGACAAGATGGACTTTAACTCTTTTTTCAAATTTAAATTATACATATCATTATATTAATGATTTAGTGTGAGTCAATATACAATATAAGCAGACTCTAACGTTGCTAATTCAGACTTAACGAAAGGATTTATATGCTATGGTTTTTAAAACATAAAGATTATTTTAGACACGAATAAATCATAAGGGCTTAAGTAATCCAGGATCAAAACAATAGAGACTAAAATGAATCTTAACCTAATTATTAATAATTAAATAAAATACTAAAAAATTTATATGGGTATCCATACAAAAAAATAATTTTTTTACCATATGAAAAAAACCAAATAGAAAGAATATCTCACATAATAAATCCCAAAATAAAAAGGACGTACCTATCGAATGGAATAATTTATAGGAAATGAGACGCTGCCAGATAAAGGGGGACTTGGTATCAACATGTGGTGTGTCGTAAAGGCAGCCGAATGTGACCAGGCGAACGAGCCTCTGTTCCTCGCTGCGGGATTACCGAACACCATGTTTCATTCAGTCATTCTCACGAACATGTTTCGCGCGCCATGAATCGTGCGCCGCGGCTCGCCCCCGACCACATCGGCGCACCAGAGGATTTGTCACCTACCGTGCAGGTTGTGGTGCAGAACTCCGGTGGGGCTGAATTCGCGTCGAGGAGGGGAAGAGAGACGGGTGGTATCATTTCGTACCGCGCCGTGTCACGGACGCCGTGGGATCCGCCGATGGGAGTGTGTCTCACGGCACTCGCGGTGGTGGACCGCACTCGCTCTGGTGAGCCGTTGCTTTCCCCGCCACGGATTTTTGCCTTCAAACCGACTCGACTCGGAGCATCCAACCGACCTATTTATCTTTGAACATATGGAGAAGAAGAAGAAGAAGACGAGAATTGTAATCCGCTCCGTCACGGCCACGGGAAAATGATTGGGAGGTCAAATCTGAGCTGCTGCTAATCCGATACCACAACAAACTCCGCATCGACGCAACGGGTCGCTCGCGAGCGTCGGTCTTCTCTGGAAGCTACGGGAACACGCGATGTGATTTCGAGAGTATCCAAAGGGGCGTGGATGTGTTTGACCTCGTCATCTCACCGCCCTCGTCGGTTCCGTCGATCCACGTTCGGAAAAGCTCCAACAGTGGTCAAAGCCTCTCCTCTCCGTCTGTGAAGCAACAAAAATCTCTCTCTCCTTGTGGTTGAGAATCCAACTATGAGACATCATGAGCTAATGGTGGTGCTATCAGTAGGTGACGGTGACGACGACGAGTTCATTTGACCGTTGACTTGGTTTTCCACTGAAGTCATAATTCATCGTAAAATGAGAATTCATTTGGGCGTATGGTTGGGTTCCTCGGAGAAAGAGTGGAGGCCAAATCACGAAGGGCTCCATCTCGAACACTTTTGTGTTGACGTGAAAGGTATACCTCATTGCAATTGCAGTATCAGAAGGCAACGATAGTACATCAAATGTCTCTCCGGCTTTACGTAAAGCAACGGGAAAAGCATCTCTCCCAGACTTTGTGAATAGATAGTTGGAGTAGCACACGCTCGTATTAGTGAGACATGCCATGACACCAAATGCAAATTGCATTTGCATTCACGTAAAAGATGCACATTATCATATCTACGTCACATAAATTTTCAATTCACATTATTGAAGAGCCATTTAATAGTCGTATTATTATCATTGAGTGGCTACAAAACAAAGAATGATTTGCTGAGACTCTTGTCCTCTTGCAACTTGATTTGGTACAGATTCTGCAAGCACACTCAAGTCTAACACAATCCTCAGATGAATAGAGTCAGCAGTGACGACTATTAAATGTTGGATCGATGGATTGTGCAAACATAATACGGTTGTCATTATCTCAGTGAACGTCACTAATAATTATTTTTCCGTTTTTGAAGTATTTTTTTTTCTCGGTGTTATTTAAGTAAAACGACGACTATTGGTTTAATTATGATTAATGCGAGACTTCGACTGCCATTATAGAGCACAATCTGATTGGGTGCGTGGAAGTCTCTGGAAGCACGCTATTACTTTTACCGATTCCTTTGGTCGAACTTATGAAATAACCGGCTTTTCCCGACATACGAATGAGATTATACCGGCTCGATGTGAATAAGTCGGAAACGATGCGATTCCCGAATCCCGCGCCACGTTTCCCGGTTGCAGCTGGTCCACCAGTCCGCTATTTATAGTGCCCATGATCGCGTCTTCTTCCTCCACTCATCTGAGATCGAGACCTGCGCGTGAGGATTTGCTTTGCGGTTGTGTTAGGGTCACGTTCAGGCTCGGTTCTCCAGTGCATGGCAGTGAGCTTGGTGTCGAATGAGGTGTCGGACCTCTGCATCGGGAAGCCGGCGCTAAGATCGCTGCCGCTCTCCGCCACCGCCGTCGGCGACGCCCTCCTCGCCCTCAGGAGAGGCGGAGAGCCCCACCTCGCTGTGCTGGCCGCCGACCGGGCGGCACCGGAGAAGAGGGCCGTCGTCGGGAAGCTCTGCGTCGCGGACGTGCTTTGCTACCTCTGCTCCGACGGAAACCTCGCGTCGCCGGCCGCCGCGCTCGAGCGGCCCGTCTCCGCCCTCCTCCCCAAGGGCGCTGGCCTCGTCCGCCGCGTCGAGCCGCAGTTTAGGTACTCTTCCGTCCTGCCTTGGGTAGATGAGTTGGTCCAAAACGCGTTCTTTTTTACCTTGTGCCAAGATTTTTTTTTTTTCATGTTGGGGTTAAAAGGCGACGCCTTTTTCGTTTCGATACCGAAAACAACGGGATCTTTATATGGATCATGTGAGTTGTACGAGAATAAGAATTCGAGGGGAAGTTGTGACCTTTATTCGATTGGAATGCTAAAGATTCGATCTTTTCTTCTGTTGTTGTTTGATTCGCAGCGTATCGGAAGCCCTTGATCTGATCCTGGACGGAGCGCAGAGCCTTGTGGTCCCTATTGGCTCCGTCAGCCGGAAGAAGCTCGCCGCCGCCGAATTCTGCTGGCTGACACAGGAGGACTTCGTCCGCTACTTCCTCAACTCCATCGCCCTGTTCTCCCCTGTCCCCGCCCTCTCCATCGACGCCCTCGGCCTCGTCCGCTCCGCGGACGCGCTCGCCATCTGCCATGACGAGCCGGGCCTCTCCATCATCCCCCTCGTCCGCCGCGCCCTCTCCGACCAGACTGCCGTCGCCGTCGTCACCGACGATGGGCGGCTGCTGGGCGAGATCTCTCCAGCCGCCCTTTCTGCCTGCGACGAGACGGTGGCCGTGGCCGCCGGCATCGCCACCCTCACGGCGGGCGACCTCATGGCCTTCATCGACTACTACGGTTCTCCGTCGGAGTCCCTTGTCCGCGCGATCAAAGCCGGGCTGAAAGAGAAGGGATTGCACGAGATGCTTGAGCTTATGGAAGACGAGCTGTCCTCGTTCTCCATCTCATCCTCCTCGGCCTCTTCCTCGTCCTCCGACGACGAGTCAAGCGGGGGAAGGCGGCTGCGGAAACTGCGGTCGAGGAGCTTCTCCATCGGGAGGCGATCGGAGGAGCCGGAGGTCTGCCATCCCGGGAGCTCGCTGGTGGCGGTGATGGTGCAGGCCCTGGCGCACCGGGTGAGCTACCTGTGGGTGGTCGACGAGGACGACTACGGCCTCATGGGAATCGTGACGTTTGCTGACATGCTGAGGGTTTTCCGGGAGCAGCTTCAGCAGTCTTCTCTCTGAGACGGAAGAGTGCAAGTCGATCACATGGGCGGAGGATGAACGAGGGCGGTGATGGCAGCTGTTGTGGATGAGTCTCTGTGTATTGTTTGGGCGTGAGAACGCTTTCTCCATTCCCTCCCATGGTTTTTGGAGATCCTGCTTTGTTTATTATGTTTCTGGTAATAAGGACTCAACCTACCATCAAATCCGTATCACTTTTGTATTTGTTGCAGTTACTATTTTCTGTTCTTATCTCATCTGCCACCAAGGCGTGGCCTGTTCTGAATGTTTGATCTCTGCTGTTGCTTTATGGGCGCAAGTACTGTCGCATCTTTCTTGCCACTGAAAGCTGAGCAAAAGCTTCTGTAATGGCCAATCTACTTGTAGATTTTGTGCATCTATGTTGAAGAAGAATCGAGAAAAAGCACTCTTCTTATGTGGCTGGATATGCCACAAACTATAAGAGCTGTCAAGGGGCACATAGCAGACAAGATGCTGCAAATAGTCAAATCTTGGAGGGCTCTGCAATCTATGTTTAGATAAAGTTCAATCCATGCCATCTCCAATAATCAATATCCTTGAAGATTTTGAATCCAGTCGCCTCTCTGTTTCATAAAGAAATGTGTTCCTTTTGTCACAGCATATTCCAATATACCAGAGAGTGGTTCTCAAGAAACAACAGCATATTCTAACGCTAATCTCCGCTCAACAGTAAAAGGAGACGAGAAAGATACCCACTAGTAGTAGTAGTATTCAGTGAATCAGAATGTGGAGTGCAAAAGTGCCAACTCTCATCGAAGAATGTGTCTGTTGACTGCTTCGTGATCGCCAGCTACAACTGCCCAACTTTTTTGACCACCAGTGGAGATTTTCTCTGAATTTGGATGGCTTTTACCAAACATCATTTTCATCGACTGCGGCTGTTCGGAATTAGATCCTTAAACTTTCATGCAAATTGCTTCCTGCAATCAATAAAGGCTTCAGTTTCATGCAGTAAACGCAAACATTAACGGATAGGCATTACAATCAATGCACATCCATCAGTCATTAATTTGGCAAGCCGTGTCAAACAAACCAGGCCTTCTTCTTCTTCTTCCATGTCTATTATAAGCAGCATGACGCTGAACGTGTCCCTGGTGGCTATAATATTTGTACGCGGGATTCCCTGCACAACAAGAACGAACCAGTCTCGTTATAGCTTTCCAGCACTAACATGGTCCAAAAGTAAGATGAAAAGTATACATGGTCCAGAGCATCAACTTCACCTTTTTGCTATAATATAAATTGTATCCCTCGTACATGTATAAGCCTGGGAGAGGAAGCATAATCCCTTCAGATTTGTACAGGAAGTATATAGCAGCAAATCCTTGTGAAATCTGTGCAAATTACAGTAAGGGAGTCCGTTTCCTTCTACCTAATTCCTTTTTCCATCTTCTATCTTTATCTTTCCTTCCTCCCATCACATCAGGAAGAAAAGGTTGGGCTTCTCTACAATGTGGAGGCCACCTATATTGAAGAGGACTACTTGTAGGATTGTGATATATCAATCAGACAAAGAATGTTGAAAGAAGAAAAAGAACTAGACGGTGTCTAATGTCAGCATAAATCTCTGACCCTGGAAGCATATCCATGAAGAAGAATACATGAGTGGCAGGGCTTCGATCCAATCGGATGATCGTCAAAGCAACATTAGATTCCTTCCAGTTCCATTCAACATGTCTAATGCCTCTCAAAAGCAAACAAGAGGAACATGCTCAAGGAAGCTTAGTCATACGATTGTTTGTCATAAAGGTATAACAGAGTGAGCATACCGATATCTAAAACAAGAGAATCATGAAAAACTAGTAGTCACCCCTTCTGCCATTTCATTCTGATCCTCTGATACCAGCTTAAATTTGAGAATTTTGTGCAGGCTAGCTATGGGCTTGACCTGTTTTGATGGAGCTTGTTTTGGATCAAGGAATTGTTTGTCCTTGAAAACATTTGTTTCAGAAGGCTTCGTCTCAGAACATGTCACGGTAGGTGCACCATCTACAAAACCATGAGATGTCAAGTTGCCAATAGAAAACTTGCTTTTGAAATCTCACAGGAATAAAAGACACATGAATCTGCTCCAATGACTAAAGTCCAACTTTTGAAATATAAAGATGTAAGTGAACTCATTTATTATCAGTATTAAAATTCCCAAGCAGAGGAATCAAATCGATAAGCAGAGGAAACCAAGATCAGTGATCAAGGTTTTAACAAGATTGAAAGAGAATGATGAAATGCATTCACAAGCACGAGAATTACCACCTTCAGAGAAGATGTAGCATGTTCCCATGGTCTCTTGGTATTCTCCAATCTGTTGCAAGGTAAGAAAGGCATGCCACATTACAGGACTAGCAATGAAGAAGTAAAACAATGACTAAAAGAGGAAAAAGGTAAAATCAGTAACAGAACTAAAACTTCTGCAGGTGAATAGAAACAATTAACAAACACATATCTGTGCTTCATATTAACCAATGAAGCTGATAGCAATACAAGTTCAACAAATCAAAAAAATGATCCTTGGTTCTTAATTATTTACTATTGAAGTATCATGGCTGGCAAATCATACATCTGGATATGCTTCCCTACATTTTCTTCAAAAAGTTCTAATAGCTCCAGAATTTTATATCTCAAAGTGCAAAAGGTGACTAATCTAAATGAACTGGAGTTATTTATGATGTAAATACACAAGACTAGGCACAATCATATGGGGCACTTTAGGTATGCATGTGCAATCTTTGAGACAATTATAGAACTGTTAAATGACCAGGAAGGTACAATAAGTTATTATAATGGTTAAGAAAAATTCATCTGAGTCTGCATCATATCCTTGGACTTTTAAGCAAACAAACGTGATGAATAGAAAAATGTCACACCATTCTATTTGAACCTAAACTGAAGCATGAACTGTGGGAAGCACAAATAAAAGAAAGTTATATCCACCATCCTTGCCTAGCTGTCAGCTACTAAGAGTTATTAATGCCAGGGTTATAAACCAGAACTTTCCAGCCTTTCCTATCCAAAGTAGAAGCATGGTTGCCACATAAATCAAATGTATGTTAGGTGATGCTAATGGCCATGGACTGATATTTTACACAGATCATGCATCTTGGATGGAGATTCTACCTTTTCTTCATGTAAATTGAAGCATCAAAATAAAGATGCCACCAGCTTTATACCATCAACAGTAACATCCTATCAGAGTTACAGATGGATATAGTTTATTACTCACCAGTTTCAGATCGCCAATGACCAACACCGGTTTCACTGTATCCAAACCCTGCATACCATGGGACCACCACATTTATTTTCCTTAAAACATGTGAATAATTAACAAATGCATGTCAGATAGTCATATACTACTAATAGAGAAGTGGGAAGAGTTCAGAAGAAAAGAGAGGGGAAACAGCACTTTGACTTTATAACTTCTACTCAGATGTCTCATTGAAATAGACACTTGGAAAGCAAGGTCCAAATGGTTCATTGTGAAATTACCAAAATAAACTAAGAGACAAGTTTTTCCACATTTCATACTTTAGAATCAGTATTCATCATTTGTGATGTTAAATTCACAGATAAAGAGTATGAACAACCAAGTATAATTTTTTTTCTAACCAAGTTTGCAACTTATATTTACCAGCAAATTCTTGTATAAACTCCTAATGGAGAATATTAAACAAGATTATCCCCAATGAAACCCAAAACCAATTCACTGGTAGCAGGAGAGTTGTTAAGTGCGAAAAGCAAATCAGACTATACCACCGATCCAATAAGCCCATTTCATAGGAGAAGCTAATATCCTATCATGCCAAGCCTTTATAAAATAGCTGTCATATCTGGAATGGTTCTAGTGTTTAGATACCAAAAAAATTGGATGTTTCCCATCTGCATCTTAGAATAAGACCTAACCAGGCAACTGTTTTTTTCCTTCTTATTTGATAACAGCCACTGAATAAGACTCATGTGAGTCCTGAAAGGTGCCCTTTTCCATCACTCCTTCAAACACACACATGTGCAAAAAGTTATTTCAGACCAGTCACATCAACAGACCTTTTCTTAATTACCATTTAATGAATTTTTTAATTAGTTGTTAGTAAAATCCATTGATCTAGTACCAATTTTTTTAAACCATGAATTTAATATGCAAAAATCAAGTATAGATGTAAATGGAAGAATTTTATCACATGTAAAAAAACAGTACATACTAAATCCACAGCTAAAGAACATGTGAACAAAGAAAAATATTCCATAAAACAATATCGTATTTCATGCTGTAATCACATGTTCATAAATGAGAGGTAGCTTCTTACAGAGAGGACATAGGGAGCATTGGCAGGAATATCAGCACGAACACACACATCATCCAAGTCAAGTAACACATATTCTTCTTCACCCTCAACATGGTTAATCTGGGCCATACTGCCTTCCATTCTTAAGATTTCAGCAAGAAGCAACTTGGTCCTCTGTTTGACTCAAGAGACAAGTTAAAAAAATCTGGTTTAGACAGAAAACTTTATTGGCAATCATTTTGAACTTAATAGATACTGAAGAAACAATGCAAAAAGAAGATTTTTTGGAGAAACTGGAAAGTTAGGCAAAAAGCATGTTACACCCTGTATTAGACAGACACACAAGAACAGAGTAAAAGTAAAAGCAATTTTCACCCTGCAGTTCAAATGTATTTGTGACCTATAAGATGATTTTTCAGTGAGGACTCATCAAAAGTATCTTATACTACAGGACCAAAAAGTAGCCTGTATGGTCGCACATAACAGTAATATGATAACATGGAATAAGGCCTTTGTCTTAAACATGAATTAGCATAACCACATATATGCACTCCAAATCAGCTAGAAATCAAACAGCATTTGACTATGAGACCTCATGTGCAGTCTGAATACACATGAAAATGCAGTCACATATATGCTTTATGTTAATTTCTTGTTACTAATGGATCTAATAGTGTAATGTTTCAACAGCACAGTACATTGTTCGATAGATTGTCACCTTTCACCATGTTACTTTTACCACTTATCGTATCTTATCACTTAAATATCTTTTCAATGAATTGAAAATATCATTTCAGGTTGTTCTTAATCTGGCAATAGCATGTATTTATGTATTCGTTTATAAAACTAAACTTTATTTTGTCTTTTTGTACTCAGTTTTGGATAATTTTGAATACCTTAACATGCACAGACTAAATAGCAAAGATTCTTTTTAAAACATTGGCCTTTAATTCTATACTGGAGTGAGCTTCCATATAGACTAAATGATGCATGACACACCAACAGGGGCACAGTAAATAATTATGAAATGAAATTAGCGATGCTATGCAAAATGAATATTCACACCGAATCTACCATTATAAGAAAAATGAATATGCAATATGATAATGCAGACGAAGAATATCATCCATCCATTAGCTGTAATTAGATATGAAATTCTCACTCAAATATACTAAAGAAACACAAATTTACACCACAGGATAAAAACCTGCAACCAAGTTTCAGAAATAGTTACTTCTCCGAGAAGTCTACAGCCCCTCGAAAACCAGGGAAAAGCCTATCCAGATATCCAACAAGCCTGGAGTCGGCTAATGGTTGAGGCGAATCAACAAGCAGTATGCGGGTAAGCTTGTTGAGGATTCGCGGAGGGCTCCAGGGTGGCTAATGAGATATACGAGAGCGAACATCAGGCGAATCAACAAGCAGTATGCAGTTAAATATGTTACTTGGCCACGAGATTGGAGAGGCGAGGAGGAAGAGCATGCCCAACACACGGCGTGCCCAAACGCATATTTCTTGTCAAACGCACTCAACTTGGGAAGACGAACCGGTTCGATCGAACCCAGATGGGTGCGGTTCGACTCCCGGGTTGGGCGGTCCTTTCCCCACTGCGGCATCTTATCGAACGACATGAGGGCGGGACGGTTTCTCAGCGATAGTAACCCCATCGCAAACGGTCGGTGTTTCTCAGATCATATATGGGGTGGAAGGAGAACGGGAAAGATACGGAAGAAACCGGAAGCTTACCGTCGGGTTCTCAGTAGGTTCGAGCTATCGGCAGCGCGTGATGAACGCCGTTGGAGACGAGAGGAAGATGGAAGGGAAGGGAAAGGCCGGAGAGATGGAAGACGTAGGGCCGAGAAACGCTGCGCTTGCCCGAGGGAGAGGGAGAGCAACAGAGAAAGCAGGGGAAGGGAGATTAAGCTTCCTTTTAAGGCCCAAATCCTTCAAATAAAATGTCTCTTCTTCATTCCCTTTTTCCCAAACACGATTTGACTCGGATTCGACCATTCCACCCAAAATTCACTTATAAACACTCCATCAAGTTCAAAAAAAATCTAGCAAATAAAGATCGAGAGTTCGAGATTTCATTATCGAATATTGATTTGATCGTGACCGAAGGGTTCAAAAAACTATCTTGAATTTTTCTTGGGTCATTTACTTAGAAAAATCTTCACTAATTCTTTTTTAGGCACCTTTTCCTTGGTGGATGGACCAACACTGTCTTGTCCATTTTGGCTTATGGCATAGGTTTAGTGATGAGTTTTTTCTTAAACCGGATCGGCTTGGTTTAAATAACTAAACTGGATTTT